ATGGGAAATTCTACCTCACCCTCCGTACTCGCCAGACCTTGCTCCAAGTGACTATCATTGTTTTTGGCCTTGGACAACCACATGAGGAATCGGCGATTTGAAAATGAAGTGGCTTTGGACAACGAACTAAAACATTTCTTTAATTCCCAAAAGCAAATACAAAAATGGAATATATGCTCTTGTGTCTAAATGGGAAAAGTGTAATTGTATTGTAATTGTAATTACTTGCTGATTGTTTATGTTATTATTTCGTTACCTTCAAAACCGCAAGAACTTTTGCTTGCCTGATAACACACTTTTTCAGTATGTGTAATATATTTAGTGGGTAGTAAGTATTTAGAGCTTTGCTAAGGCTGAGCCAATGAGGGTGTGACTTCTTTACTCACGCTCAGCTTTCGCAGAGCGCAGATAGCAGAGGGAGTTAACGTAAGCTGGCACAGGAAGTGGACGCTGTCTTGTTTATCAGAATGTCAAACATCAGCAATGCGCACGTTTACATGGGTTTCCTCTGAAGGTTTGTAGCGCCAAATCGGCTACACTGGCCTCACATGACGCCACCACTGAACAGGAGGGGCATCTTTGTAATAAGATTGTCAAGTAATCCACGTGTGGAAGTTTATATCAATTTCAGTAAAGCTTGTGGCTCCAGATTGGAGCCATATTGCGCCAGCACTGAAGGAAAATGAAGTATCGGCAATAATGACTATTAATCCAGGTAGAGAGGTTCATATCGAATTCGTGCCGAAAAAATGGAGCGCCAAAATGCGCCCCCTGGCGCCATAAGGGCACCGAAGACAAATACGATGTGACATCCGTGATCAGAGGCCCGACCAACTCTCACAATCCAATTTCATCGAAAAATAATTATTTTGAAGGTTTCTAGCCAGTTGAAAATTCAACTGAAAATATTTCGTGAAAACGGCAAAATTTTTAATTGCTTCTCCCTGTTGAAGCTCACCTTTCACATTAGAATTCAAAAAAAGATGCATAGAAACTGAAGGCAACAACCCAAAAAGCGGTGCGAAATCTCACGAGCCACTCATATTGTCCCACGTGGCCACAGGTATGAGCCACAGGTGGCTCATAATGTCGTCAAGTGTTGAACTTCAAAATTTGAAGGCTTTCACATAACCACATTGCGCACTCTTTGGTCTGCCTTATAGTCTACCGAGTGAAGTTGCATATTTCCCATCATTTTTTGTTAGTTGGTGCACTTCTCGTGACGTCTTTTATTCGGTACCGTTCCTCCTCTTATCTTCTTCTCATTGCTTGATTTTACATGAGGCATTCCCCACGTCGACTTATTTCATCAACTCTACCTCATCAATCAATCCGGGGGTTGACAAATTAATAATGGCTCTGGGGTCATGGGCGAAACAAACAGTAAGTCTTGTAGCAATATTTCAATCCATTTCTTTTTCTTCTTATAATTAATTGTAGGAAAGCGCAGATGACCGGAGTGCATTGGCACTGGCGCCAAACACGAATGTCATTTTGGCAAGTAGGACTTTAGGCTCAACAGTCCCCCCTGCGCGAGTTTATACCAATTTTACTGGGAAGGTGGGGGTGCCAAATCAGTCAATTTGGATCACATACTTCATTTGCCATCAAGGCCCCTCAATAGCCCTTACGGGCAAATTTTTAGAAAAAAGTTTTTGTAAGTTCTCGGGCTTGTAGTAAGGTACGATCGCTATCGCCAAATTCATTCGGGCTGTGTCAGCCAATGTAATGTGATGTAGCCCATGTATAATGAACAATCAAAATAAGTAAATTCAAAATCCAAATTCGGCAAAGATGAGAACGGTTGACTTCTCAGTTCACGATCTCATCTTTCCCTGTGAACAAGTTCCATGATGTTGTTTCACCATTAACCGCCCGGCTAGGACACGGAGAAGTTGTCGGTCTGGTATTTGAAATGATTTTTCTTGAAGACATGGAGATAGCACCATTCGTTATGTTCAACATTAAACAGAAAAGGTGATATTCCGTTACTGCGAGGTCTAGCGAGCACAGAATGTGCTGCAAAACCTCATATTCCTTGATTTCCCTAGAGATTTTCACGGTATGAGTCCGTAGAAGGTGGAGCGTTTTGCTGCACACAGTGCTCAGGAACCGCACATTCCCATCAAACGGCGTCAGGGGTGCCTAGTGGGATGTTGTTCGAAAATTTGTTCTCAATTGATAAGCCTATGACCAGCAGTTCTAGCATACGCTTTTGATGACCAGGCGAAGTCTTCAAAACGGTGTATTACCATAGGCTCTGCGACCTTAGCATCTCCAAAGAAACAATCAATGAACGAACATGAAAAGGCGAGGACTCATTCCTCAGTCAAATAGTTCCAGAGCCTAGGACTGAAAAGTACACATATGTATCACTGGACATAATTCGCCATGAATGAACACGATGTTATTTTCCCAACAATTACTTGAGCTAGAAACGAGGATACGGTATCTCTGCAGTACACGCAATGGCAGTTGTGCAGAACAATGGCGCACTGTCGCCTTGCCCAATCTTGGCGCTCCATGCAGATGTAATATTTGTGTTCACTAAGTCAATGACCTCAAGAGAAAAGTTCAACAAGCTCCACAATTTCAGGTGCTTTAGCTCCAGCTCCTGTGGCACAAGCACCAGGCTATTTCGTGACAGACAAATGCGATATTCGTCTTTAAGATAATGTGAAATGGCAAGCGTTCTGAATCCCAGAATTTCGTTAGGGAGTTATTTTGAAATGTGCTGGTGAGGGGAACAAAATGTATTTCCTCCAGCGCTTAGTAAAACACTTGGTGGCAAATTTTATTTCAGTCAAGTCTGCTAACTTTTTGAAACCGGTCCGTTACCTACAAGACAGTCCATTCACGGGAGAAGATTCAGGAGCAGTACGGGCATCAGCACTTGAGCAGAAGAGATCGAGACTGCTCGGCGTATGTATACAGAAGGGCATGCTCAGTTCTCAAGTCTCAGAAGTCACCATTCTTCTGTTAGGTGATATGAAGACCTAACCTTAAGCATTTTTCGAGCTGGGGTTGATGGTAGATGTCCAGTACTGGCACCTCGTGTACCGTAGGAGAGCGCGAACACAAATGACCAAATGCCGATACCACCCGTATAATGGGCTTAGTAGTGGGCGTCAGCTTCGCGGTCGAAGATACGCAAAACAAACCATCTTCTCGAATCTCTTCCTTGGTGTGTCTTTCCTCGGAGTTGGATCATTCAAGACTAGTAAGTGCAATCTGCATGCTTGAGGTTGAGGCCTTGTACAATTACTTCGAATATGAAAAATGAACAAGAATCTTAATGAGAACGAGAGCTGAGTTCCCCGTAAAGCAGCACATAACCCTAACAGGATCTTGATGGATAAGCACCGATCCTAATGAGAGCAGCCACACTAGTTCACCATCACTTATCTGCTGGGTATGTACACGTTCTAGTTCACAAGCCTGTCTTTACACATTGCGATGTAGCAGTCTCTGAGTGAAAGAAACATCCACTAGCAGATTGTCAGTAAAATTCTTTATTAAGAGTGCATAACATGAAATTACGAAAGCAGGTTCTTGCCTGATGCAGTGGACTGAAGGGGGATACGGTACAAAACACATCATCAAAGCCGGAACGTCTAGTATACAGTATACAAACAATCTGGACCTGTTCCAAGCCCTCGAAAGAGGTAGATGATAATCCGAACTCACTTTTCAACTACAGTATTATTTTTTTCTTCCTTCCACTATTCGCCACCTTCAACGACGGTAGGATTACTTGGTTTGGATAACTAGAAATGTGCACGTGCTTTTGCTATAAAACAAAAGCTCCTAAAAATCCGTTCTCTGAAGACTGCTTGGCGAATGGTACACTCCAATTACAGTAGAACGAGTATGCTCACGACGAACCTTTTATGTACTTTTGCTACAGAAAACTATGGGCTTTCATATACAGACAGCATAGTAAATGGAGTGAACAATTTTCTGAACTGTCAATAAGTTATAGTTCATTATGATGTGTCCTCGATGATGTGATAGCGAGAGGTTTTAACGCATTAGGTCCACGACGAATCCTCAGCAGTGTGAGGGCCTCATGCCGAATCGTGCGATTGAGAAACAGATAAACAAATGCGGGAAAACCTGCAATTCGCCTCAGATGTGATGAGAAAATCGAAAAATGGTTGCTTTCTGATGAATTCAGTACGTGAGGTATTGATGAGAAGAAATGCCATGTACAACGATGCTCTTTTTGCAACCTTTTCTTCTTTGATACTTTCTTCATTTGAGGGAAAGGTGGTGTAGTGACAAGCGGCACTCTCACCACACGCATGGTTCGGGGATCGAATCCTGGACTGGCACGCA